TTTAAATGTAATTTAGGGTGACCAACCATTTAGATTTGCCTGGGACTGAGGAGTTTTCTAGAATGCAGGATCCTTAGTCATGCTAACAGGTGTGTGATGGTATATTATTGTGGTTTGTTGGTATTTTTGTAATAACTAATGAAATGCATTTTTTTTTTATGTGCTTGCTTGTGGTCTGTATAGCTTCTTTGGAGAAGTATCTGTTGAAATCACCCATTTTTAATGGGATATTTGTTTTTTTTTATTGAGGTACAGTTGACATAAAATAGTTATATTTGTTTCAGGTGTAGGTAGTTACTTTTTTTTGAAGATTTTATTTATTTGAGAGAGAGTGCACGCGCGTGCATGTGTGCGCGCAAGAGCATGAGCAGGGGGAGGGGCAGAGGGAGAAGCAGATTCCCTGCAGAGCAGGGAGCCTCATGTGGAGCTCAATTCCAAGACCTGGAGATCATGACCTGAGTGGAAGGCAGATGCCTTGGTAGTTACATTTTATTTTTTTTTAATTTTTTTAAAAAGATTTTATTTATTTATTTGACAGAAAGAGATCACAAGCAGGCAGAGAAGCAGGCAGAGAGAGAGGGGGAAGCAGGCTCCCTGCTGAGCAGAGAGCCCGATGCGGGGCTCGATCCCAGGACCCTGAGATCATGACCTGAGCCGAAGGCAGCGGCTTAACCCACTGAGCCACCCAGGCGCCCTGGTAGTTACATTTTAAATAGCTGCATACTTTAGGGTTATTTATCTCCTCTAATAGTGCATGTAATATGGGATGAATATTAATTTTTTTATCCAATTTCAATTCAGTAAATATTTATTTAGTTTTCGTATGTGCCAGTGACTTCTAAATGATAAAAATGTCAAAGTGAACTAGATAACATTCTTTTGGTCTAGAATAGGGGTATACACTATAATATCCAAATTAAGAGTAGTGGGACCAGCCATCTTATCACCAGAAATCTGAAAAAACTGAGTAAGTCTTGGGGTGCCTGGGTGGCTCAGTGGGTTAAAGCCTCTGCCTTTGGCATGGGTCATGATCCCAGTGTCCTGCGATCAAGCCCCGCATCGGGCTCTCTGCTCAGCGGGGAGCCTGCTTCCTCCTCTCTCTCTCTGCCTGCTTGTGATCTCTGTCTGTCAAATAAATAAAATCTTTAAAAAAAACAAAAACAAAAAAACAATTGAGTAAGTCTTCTGTTGGACTGAATCTAGGATATAGAGTGGGATTAATCCACAGATAGCCTTTAAAAATATTTAAAATTAGGAATAGGTTTATTTATTTAAACAATTTTCAGGCTTAAAGAGGATTAGACTATTTGTTCAATGAAAGAAATAGAGGCTTAGAACCGGGCAATCCTCTTTGTCATGAAGATGATGGACACATCAGTTCAAGCCCTGGTTCACTCTGAGTTTTGGGGAGAGTCCTGGTGAAGTCGGCTGGTGGAAGGCAGAGCCCCAAACAGACACACAGAAGGGTGCGGAAGAGGCAAGACAGGGGCCTTTCTATTGATCGAGAATGTGGGGGCCAAGCGTTGTGAACACCAGCCTACTGGTTTCATATCATGGGCACTTCCCAGATACCAGCCTGTTCTTATGGTGCTGGGGTAGGAGATGGTGATAGAGGGATGGGTCACGGCTAGAGGTTCCTTTCCTTAAAGCAAATAAACAAACATGACACGTGCCTCCTAAAAACCAGGCATTTTTCCTTCGGTTAGTATTCCGGGGTCTTTATTAAACACTTTAGATCTTCTGATTTATTTCCCTTCAGTATATCTTCATCCTTTGAACATAGCATGTGGCAGATCTTGGGGGCGTTGCCCCCCACGCCCACCGTGTGCTGCTCAGAAGTCCACAGGTGGGTTAGTGAGAGGAACACACAGCTGTTGCCAGGTGATAAAGAGGAGAGATTATGTGTTTGTTTTTATTTTACTTTCTTTGGTCTGTTGGGGCATGGTGCCAAGATCTCGCCTTTGATGCTGTGCTGCTTTAGTTTCATGAAAAGTAGTTTAATTTTGTTCTGGAATGAGTCATAATGTTTTTACTTTGGGTGGGTTAGAGGAGATTGATTTTTGTTCCCTGTGTGACTGGGCAATGAGCATCCTAGAGGGAGGGGCTTTGTGTCCTGTCTCCTGCCTCTGCCAGAGCCCGCTACGTAACAGTTACTCTGTAAATACATGTTTGGTGAGCCCAAAGTACAGGCATGGCACTGCTAACCGAAGAGGCAGCAAAATGGATATTTTTCAGCCCAGTTCCCTCCCAGGATGGTTTTAAATAGGTTAGTCTTTTTGCATATAAAAGCATTTGCCATATCTAAAATTGATAGAGCCCTTCCAAAACTTGGCTGACTCCTGTCCCCAGATTCCGTGTTAGTGATTGACAATGATGGTCCTTTTTAGAGCTGTGCTGCCCCTACAGCCTGTAGAAGACCCAGGGCTTGCCCTTGGCAATGGGTACTCCTTTATGAGGAGGAATTCACATACTATACAGTTCACCCATTAGAAATGTACAATTCAGTGGATTTTAGTGTATCCATAGACTTAGGTACCCGTTATCACAACCAATTTTAGAACATTTTCATCACCCCAAAAGAAAACCTGTACTCATTAGCTATCACTACCTAATTTTTGTCTCACCCTTACTCCTAGGCAGCCAGTCATCTCTTTTTTGTCTGTATAGATTTGCCTATTCCAGATAGGCCCAACATGGAACCATACAAAACATCGTCCTTTGTAGCTGGCGTCTTTCACTTGGCATCAGGTTTTCAAGGTTCACCCATGTTGTAGCATGAACAAAACACAAACAAGTATTTTGTTCTTTTTTTGGCTGAGTGATATTCCGCTGTATGGATATAACACATTTTGTCTATCCATTTCTTAGCTAATGGATGCTTGGTTTGTTTCCACTTTTAGGCTATCATGTGTGATGTTGCTATGAACACTTGTACCCTAGCTGAGTATTTTTATTTTTTCACTTTGTCACTTTGGATTGACACAAGTACTGGTAGACTGTTTTAACTCCTTTTCGAATCCAAAAACATATTTAAGGCAGGAGACCTCCATGGAGCACACATCATGTAGCAGAGCAGACTGGAACAAGCACGTCGATCATTTCCATTATGATGGCGTGATTGGCTACAATGACGCAAATATCGGAACCCATGTGAATTCAGCCTAATTCTTCCATTTGTGGGTATTTATTCCCTGCCAGCCATCGCACTAGGTAATGAGGATATAAGGATAAGCAGACAGGGTTTGTGCTCTCAAAGGGCTTCTGTCCAGTGTCTTTCAGGGTTGGGAAGGTGGCCACGGGCTGGGTACAAGGGGATCCAGGATCTGGGACGATAGGGTGCCCTCTGCTGGGGGTGCATGGGCACCATCAGAGCTTCCGAGAATCCAAGGTAGACTTAGGGTGGGGTGGTAGGCAGGGCAGGGAAGCTTCCAGAAGGAAGGTCACCACCAGGCTGGGATCTAAAGGAGGAGTGGATGTAGCTAAGAGAAGGGAGGGTGGAGAGGAGGAGGAGGGGGAGAGAGTTCCTAAGTAGAGAGCTCAGCATGTTCTGTGTGCCATGTGCTCTGGAGTTGAAAGTGGGGTTCAAGGTGAGGTGTGGTGGGAAATGAGGATGAAAAGAGCAGAGGGAGGCCTGGTACCCTTGAGAGCTGCACCAGATGGTTTGGACTTGGGCCCAAGAGCTGGGAAGGGAGTCACATGAGCAGGTCTGCATTTTGGCTGCTCAGAAGGGGGTGCACTGGGTCAAGGGTGGGGCTTGTTTCCCCTGTGGTGGGAGAGCAGGGGACCTGCTGTGGCATTCAGTGGGAGTTTGGAGGATGCGGGGGAAGGCTAGCAAGAGTCACTGGAGAACAAGATGAGCAGGGAGTTAGGGAAGCGGTTGTGGGCTGTTGTAGGAAGATGACTATTTGAAATCTGCGTAGTCTGACAATGTGGAGGGACATGGCCCCGGGGCATGGGGAGGCCCAACACTTGCATAATTGTACTTCAGGATGTCGTTTGCCTCAACTGAACTGTACTGAATTGAGTTATCTTAATTGAACTGCAAGTGCCAATAAAAATAGAGAAACAAAAACTGCCCCAAGCCATGGATATGGATGACTGTGCTGATCCCCATGATCTTTCTAGCCCACAGCCAGCAGCTCCCCTGAGGATTTCACAGAGTTCCCCCTTTATTCTTACTTTGAAAAGGAAAGCCTAGTAGAGAAGCTAATTATTTCCAAAATAGCTTCCAGAATGGGAGGAGTTGGAGTGGGAGGTGGGGGCAAGATGATTGACCTGAGCTGTTAATGTGCAAGTAGTGGGAGGCTACAGGATATCTGACCCTAGAGTCAGAGGGGAATTAAACACAGAGCAGGGCCCGGCAGGATAAGGGAAGCAACTTCCCTCTTGCGCTGGTTTTGGGAACCTCGGAGACCTGTGCCTGCAGAGTTTGCTCAATGAGGAGCTGCACTCAAAGAGCTGGGAAACTGGTCTGGGGCAGGGAACTAGAGATGGTCTTCCTGCCCCAGCAAGGTGCCACTGGAGGTGTGATGCCATGGGCCTGGCCACGGGCTCAGTCTGTCTGCACGGGGCCCAGGCAGGCTGGATGGCCCTGGTCTTTTGTCTGTTAAACTCCCCTTAGATGAGGGACCCTCCTGGTGGGGAAGGGTAGGATTGATCTCACTTTCTCATCACCTCTGTCTGTGTATTTGTTGCTACTGCTGAGACACACCAGGTTAATGGCCTCAGGCTACTAGATTTCTGCTCCGAGAGGCCACAGTTGTGGCCATTGGTGTTCTGAGAGACCAGTTGACTGGTCCGCATCCATCTGGGCTTGGCGACGGGGCTGGGTCTCGGGGAAGGACATCACGGGCCAGTGATATCACCACACATGCAGATCCCAGAACAACCCAGATCAGTCTGGCTCCCTTTCTGGAGAACGTAGCCATGCTTCCTGGCTGAGCCCCTGACTTCCATTTCCTTGTCTCAGAGTGGTGACTTGTGGCTGTCACTCTGTCCAGGTATGTACCCTTTGGCCGCAGCAAGCCAGGAGGCTGAGAGCAGCCGGAAGCTGACTCACCTGCTGAACGCGGTGACCGACGCTCTGGTCTGGGTGATTGCCAAGAGCGGGATTCCCTCCCAGCAGCAGCCCGTGCGCCTGGCTAACCTCCTGATGCTCCTCTCTCACGTTCGACACGCCAGGTACAGTCCCTGGGGGGCCGCTCCGCTGGGGGTGTGGGGGTGGGCCTGTGCCCTGCAAAGGCCTAAGAGCTTCGGGGAGAGTGTTTGCAGGTTTGAGAGTGACAAGGCAGAATTTTGACCTCTAAAGGCAAATAAATCTCTGAAAGGGAAGGGGGGGCGTTCTTCATCAGTGCACGCAGCTGTGGCCGGAGGTCAGCACCGTGGGCACTGGGCGAATGTCATGTGCTACCATATAGGATATTGATGGCATTCCTCACCTGTTTTTTAGTTGCTGGGGTTTGGGCTTATTTATGGAATTCTAAAAGGGGCCGCTTCTCTCCTGATGTGAACAGCCACCCCTCCTTGCACCACCACTCTGAGGTCATTTGCTTGAGGAGGCTAAACTCAGCTCCTCTAGATCAGCTCCTCAGGCTAGGGATCTGGGAACGTGCCCGAAGCCTTCCCCGGGAGTGGGTCTTTTCAGCAACAGCATCAGGACGTTAATAATGAGATCTGAGGGAACTGGGGAGGCCCACGGGTTTCGGAAGGCCAGGGTGCGAGGAGAGTGCATTCAGTGTATGCTGATGGTGGGGGACGGGTGTAGCAGGATGGCTCTGTGCTGGTTTAGAGATGCTCAGTGCTTGATGGCTCCTGGGAGGAGGGCGGTCCTGCTCTGGGGCTGGCAGAGGGGAGTGAGGACAGAAGGTCATTGCTACCCAAGGGGGAGGAAGAGTCTAGAGGCTGTGGAGAAGGACAGTATTCACCTCAAGAATTATAACAAGGGGAGGAAACGAAGCAACATCCGCCTTGTTTCCTCTTGAATGATTACTGACACAGAACCATTTGCAGAACAGATAGAGCCCACTCTCATTAGTCACAGAGTCTTTATTTGCAAATTGGACTATTTTTTTTTCCGAGATTTTTTTTTTTTAAAGATTTTATTTATTTTATTTGACAGAGATCACAAGTAGGCAGAGAGGCAGGCAGAGAGAGAGAGGAGGAAGCAGGCTCCCCGCTGAACAGAGAGTCCGATGCGGGGCTCGATCCCAGGACCCTGGGATCATGACCAGAGCTGAAGGCAGAGGCTTTAACCCACTGAGCCACCCAGGTGCCCCTTTTTCCAAGATTTTATTTACTTGGCTGACAGAGACAGAGCACAAGCAGGGGAGTGGCAGGCAGAGGAAAAGGGAGAAGCAGACTCCCTGCAGAGCAGGGAGCCCGGTGCTGGACTCGATCCCAGGACCCTGAGTCATGACCTGAGCCTAAGGCAGACACTTAACTGACTTAAGCCACCCAGGTGCTCTGCAAATTTGACTACTTTTAAAAACTTATTTGTAACCCCTGAATCCATACTTAGTGGCATTTCTGTGGTCCTTCAAGGACAAGCTCAGGGTGGCAAAAAATTTGAGTTGCCCACACTTACATTCCCAACTGAGGTCAAGCAAGGGGACCCTTTTGTTCTTGTTCCGGCTCTCATACTATAACGAAATGTCCTTTGTGTGGTCTAGTTAGTGCCATGTTTTTACATTTTTGTGCTTTTTGTTGGTGAGTCCACGGTCTGTAAATGGCCCCCAAGCAGAGTGCTGAAGCTCAGTGTTCCTAAGCTCAAGAAGGCTGTGATGTGCCTTATGGAGAAAATAAGCGTGTTGGGTAAGCTCTGTTCACGCATGAGCTGTGGTAGCATCGACTGTGAGTTCAATGTTAATGAAGCAACAATTCATGTTAAGTAAGGTGTCTTTTTTTTTTTTTTTTTTTTTAAGATTTTATTTATTTATTTGTCAGAGAGAGAAAGAGAGATCACAAGTAGGCCGAGAGGCAGGCAGAGGCAGAGGGAGAAGCAGGTTCCTTGCTGAGCAAGGAGCCCGATGCGGGACTCGATCCCAGGACGCTGGGATCATGACCTGAGCCGAAGGCAGCCGCTTAACCAACTGAGCCACCCAGGTGTCCCAAATAAGGTGTCTTTAAACAAAAACACAGGTACACCAAGGTTCGCTATTAACCGGATGATGAAAATGTTGGGACCAGAGCCTTGGGCACATAATCCTGCATTTCCCGCAGAAGCAATGTATTTGCTAATTCAGTGTTAGTGGAACTATGTAGAACACAGCTGCTGTGCACGATGAGAATTCCCGGCCCTCTGCCAGGTGCTGTCGGGCCACTGTGGGTGGGTGGTGATAGGACACTAAGGTCCTTGCCCATAAGTGTAGATGACTGACGGAGCCAGAGGCAAGAGCCCTAGAAGAAATCCTGGGGGAGATTTAGGGGGCGGAGGATAGACCGGCTTTGTTGGGGGAGAGCTGGGGAAGATCTTGAAGTTCCCACGGCTGCCTCCCAGGAAGGACTCTCAACGTCTTTTTGTCCTCCAGTAACAAGGGCATGGAACACCTGCTCAACATGAAATGCAAAAACGTGGTCCCAGTCTACGACCTGCTGCTGGAGATGCTGAATGCCCACACGCTTCGCGGGCACAAGTCCTCGCTTGCTAGGGCCGAGTGCAGCACAGCAGAGGAGAGTAAGAGCAGGGAGGGCTCCCAGAAGCACCCGTCCCAGTGATGCCCAGTCTGAGGCGAACAGGCCACAGAGGAGGTCAGAGGCCGAAGTGTGATCTCCAGTGCAAACCGTGAGCTCTGTCTGGGATGGGCAGGCTTCGTCGTCTCGCTCATGTCGTCCCCCCTTCGGTTATGGCAGGCCCAGCCGGGTACCATCCTGCACCCGAATGCCTCACTTCCCAGAGTCGGGTGAGAAAGCCGCAGTGTTCCCTGGTTCCGGGGGGCATGTCCAGTGCCGATGTCACCTCATGCTCAGCCTCTTAGGATCTCAGTGTGGTCCTTTCTTACTTCTCATCTCCCTTCTGCCCCTCTGGAAAACATCTTAAAGGTTTGGGAATGAATGGTGGAAATCCGCTGTGCAAGGTGTATAGAGAGGGGAGACACTGGGGACCTTATGGAAGTGGACTAACCTTTATCGAGCAGCCTAATCTGCCCTTACACAGACCTCCGTTTGCTCTCTTCAGGGCCACTGGATGGTAGGATGGAAAACCATGGCAGTGAATGAACTAGTTCCACACACTTATGTCACAGGCCTGTGAGGACTGAAGTCACATATTGCTATTACTGTCGAAGGCTGGAGGGATCATGACCTGGGGAGCCAGTGGTGGGGCTGGGAGGTGAGCCACACCCTTCCCCTAGACCTTGCTGCCATCTCCATAGCGTTTCATTCCTCTTGATTTGCATTCATAGAGCCTGCTCATTATTTGGGGTGCATTTATGTGTTTGATCACTTTTATGGAGGATTGTGGAGATTTAAACCTCTGTCCCTTCCTTAAAACTCCTGTCCCAAGGAGCTCAGTGTGTGCTGGAGAAAGGCCCAGCATTTGCAGGAACGGGTTTCTCCCGTCGGTCTGGGTCACAGCTACGCTGTGGGGCAGCCACAAGTGCCACATCAGCCATCCAGATGGGGACATGTCAGGCTGTGTAGACTTGGTAAGCATATCACTTTCAGGAGACCTGGTTTGTGAATTCTACTTTAGAAAATATCTAGGGATAGTTATTTACAGCAAGAAAGAATTCTTTTACACTGTAGCGCTCTTTTAAACTATTTTCTTATCAGAACATTTATATGGCGAGCTAGGTGAAATGGAAACTTCATAGAAGAGTATTCGTTCCTATTCCAAGTGGGACATAGATAGGACAAGATGATAAAGCACGTCTGGAATTACAATTTTAACTCACTTTTAAAAAACTTAAATCTTCAGGAACATAGTGAACGTATTATAGGGTTACATCTATACCTTGGCAGTGAGTGGTTACATCCATGTTTGATTTTTGTGATGATGTTTTAAAAAACTACCTTGTGATCGATGAAACACATTCTCTTTTTGAAAATGGGTTTTCTTGGGCTGGCACATTCTGTATTTATTAAGTCATCAGGAAGATTAAATTCGGTTATGAAGGTTGGTTTCTGCTAGGGAGTCCTTAAATAATTCTTAGTTTTGGTATCGGTGCAGATTTACTACAAGCTGAGCAGAGCTGTCTCAGAAACACTCGGACACAGACCTAGGGAGCGCTCGCCGTTGTCTGTGTTCCGATTTGGTCTGAGATGATTCCTCGTGGTTCAGTGTTGCAGCCTAGGTGAGACTCGGTGCAGAACGCATGCATTGCATTTTATGGGAACCGGGGAACATCCAGAAGGTCGAGTTTCTCTCTCTCCGGCCAGCCTAGACCCGCATCCCAACAAACTGAAGTTACAAGGCTGGAGAACAGGAAGTGGGAGGCAAGGGAGGCTGTCTTGAACAAGTATCTGCTGGTGAAATTCTCTTAGTTATACTTACAAGGAGATTACCAGAATGAGGTCTAAGGCACTGCCACAGTGGCGGATAGGGACTGACGTATTTTAGGTTGGATTTTATAGAGACCAGATTGGTCTCAGGGGGCGAAGCAGCTTTCCATACCAAGTCCTGCGCTTGCCTGGGCTGGTGCGTGTGCTAGTGAGCTCTTCCAGGGCCCACTGCTCGTTTCCTAGTTATTCCTGCATGCTTTGAGAGGCTGCCCGCTTCCCTGCATTTGGAGGTAGCCCATGAGGGGGCTGTTAATACTTTTTAGGTCATTTCTTCTTGGCTCAGACTGCCACAGCGGCGTGCTGGGGATAGAGGTCAGTCCAGCCTTGGTTGGGGGGGCCTTCAGGGCAAGGCTGTCTCTTAGAACTGGGGTCTGGGCCAAGGAGGCAGTTGAGATAACACGGTCTGTAGCTGAAAGGTGTTCTTCCTTTTGTTTTGAATAGTGTAGGGCCCTTTCCTCCTCGCAGATGGGAGTGTTTTCAATCTCTGGGCCCATTTGTTCCAAACTGTCCTCTAAAGCAGACACCAGTGTGTAGCCAGTCTGCTGTTTTTATATGTTTTTCATAAATCCTCAGTATCCATTTTAAAGATTAATAATGTCTCCTAAACAGTGCTTTCTTTTAAATGTCTTCTGTTTTTGAGAGGGGGGTATCCACACCTAATGATCTTCTGCCATAGCCTAGCAATGAGGACTTCATTGTTTTCAAGATCAGTTTTTAAAAGGAATGAACATGGGGTGCCTGGGTGGCTCAGTGGGTTAAGCCGCTGCCTTCGGCTCGGGTCATGATCTCAGGGTCCTGGGATCGAGTCCCACATCGGGCTCTCTGCTCAGCAAGAAGCCTGCTTCCTCCTCTCTCTCTCTCTCTGCCTGCCTCTCCATCTACTTGTGATCTCTCTCTGTCAAATAAATAAATAAAATCTTTAAAGAAAAAAAAAATGAACAAGGGGGGATAGGACCTGACAACTGTAAACAGGAAATAACTTGAGTATGGGTGGGGGGAACACACCCAGCTACACTTTATTATGGAAAAGTGAGCCTCAGCTTTGCCTCAGACTCGTGTGGCAAGATTCTTTTCCTCCATTTTAATCTGCGAGTTATTGTTTAATGTGAGAAACTTATTTGTGGGAGATGAAATGAGATTTGGGGTTAATTCCAAAAACATGAGTGTCTTATATGGGATCATGTGGATACATCTTAATGAAACAATTAACATGGAATATTCTTAACACAGATCGCATTAGAACAGAATGTTCAGATTCCTGAGGGGGGCGCTAGCAATCCCTAAAGAGGACCAGGGTGGGCGAGCTGGGCCTGCAGTGCGCTTTCAGGCGTTGTCCTAACTGCACCCTCCTTCCCCTCCCTCCAGCCCCTCTGTGTGGCCTCAGGCCTGTCACACCGTCCACTGGGACCAACTACAGAGGAATTGACCCTAAAATAATTTTGAAGAGATTTTTCTTAAAAACTTGAGGTGGGAACATAAGTCTGGAGGGCCTCAACTGTATTAAGAACAAAACAAGACAAAACTGACACAGGCTCTGGGAGGGAGATGGTCTCTCCCTGGATTATCTCACCTGCCAGCTTGGCTGGGAGGACAATTACTCCAGATTTCAGTAGAAAGAAATCAGTTACCAATTCTTGGCAGAGCTACTTATATATTCATATATATAAGCTAGGATGAAGGAATTCTAGAATGTTCCAGCATGTGAAACCAGTTTGGTTGTTATTTAAATCTGCTAAGGAGCTTACACATACAGACACCTTTCCAAATTCAAGGTGGACCTTCTGCGTCTAGGTCTATTTTGAAACAAGGCATTTTTTTTTTTTAATTAAGTAAGATTTGACACATTTTTTTAAGCTGCTAGAAACCTTTTAGAACACATTATAAAGACTATGTGAAGGAAATGATAAAAATATACCATTTAGCACCTAAAAATATCTGTGGGCTACTTACTGTGTGTCAGACACAGTTCTCAAGGCCTCATACTTTCACATTTAATAAGAATTACAGTGATCCTAACTTTCTGGTTGTGGAAACTGGAGTATAAGTGAACTCGCCCAGGGTCCCACAGGGAAGTGAGTGACAGAGCTGAGCAGAGACCGAGTTCTAGTGCCTAAGGTAATCCTGCAGCTGAGTTTAACACAAAACTGAAAAGATATTCTTAGACCACAGAACGCACGCATCAGTTGGCATCTGAGACGCATGCCGCTTGGGCTTCTGTGGGGTCCTCCCGGTTTGCACAACACTCTAGATACAGTGACAGCTTACAAACCTGATGCAGAAGTTCAATCTCATCTTGGATACATGTGTAAATTAAAGCCCAGAGGGGGCTTTGACCTGCTCGAGGTCGTGAAACTACTTACGGACAAACTCCGACAGGAAGTTAAGTCTTCTGCTGCTGGGCCACCACTGTTCCTGCCACAGGACTTGCCTCCCCAAGTCGGCTGCTGGAGTTGAAGCTCCATGTCTAACAGACTCGACCAGTTGCTTTCTACTGACCCTGTAGATCCTATCTTTTCTGCCAAGATGGGGGTCTGCATGAAATGTTACAGAACAGGCGGAAAAAAGTGAGTTCGATTGTTTCCGTCCTCCCATCCTGAGCTCATGTGCTAGTGGGTGGCACTCCGGTCATCTCCTCATACCTGCTGTTGCTTTTCCCAAATGCACTGATGTGGAGTCCGCTCGTTGGACATTTCCCTGTGTAAAACGTGCACACCTTTTAGGTACTGATGCTTCCCTGTGGAGTCTGGTATACAGTAGTGTGAAACACATGCCCTTAATTCTTTATAGCTTCAAAGTTGCTGGACTTTTGGCTCCAGTGGCAGCTCAAAGAAGTACATTGTCTGCGATATGTGATCTTCTAATCCTTCTGTTGTTTTGGAGTCAAGGATCCTTGTTTTTTGAGTTCTAAGGATCCTATTCACTTATGAGGCCAGTGGCTGTGAGGTGCTGGGAGGGCTTCCTTTATGGGAAGGGCAGAGGTCTGCTAAGGCTAGCCCAGAGCAGCTCCTGCTAACAGCACAGTCTACACCGCCCTGTTTGTGCTTCTGTGCTGGGTGTCTCAATGCCACGACTCGTGGTTCTGTAACGTGATGATTTGGTGGTCCCGTGGACCTTGGAGCCTGCTGGTGGCTCTCCCTTGTTTTTTCAGGTGAATGCTTTGTGCCACGAAGCAGGCTTGTGTATCTGGGTCTTTACAAATGAATATTTGCTGTTGT